ATGGCAACTGGTCTACTGCAGAAAGAAATGGCAACATACAGCGGGAAAAAAATCCGCCACGTCAGTCATGTATCGAAAGATATATGATCGGCTAATCATCATCATATCCGATACAAATTCACTGTTCATCTAGAGAATGTTGAGTAGCGTCGCGCTTTACATTATTGATATCCGACCTAATGGTATCATTTATCACAATGCTATTTACACAACGTTTCGGCTGTGGTATCCTCCAGCCTTCATCAGGTGCATACCGATCCGGATCACCGTCAAGTAATTTTGAACTGAACCCTTTATTTAAGCCTTCCTTCATTCCCTTGTTGTGAACGAGCCGATCGAGGAGCCATGAGCGACGATGGTGCAACCAGCCGCCGCTCACCAGATTTGTTTTTCGCCTCACGAAACAGCGTCGGAATGTCCATTCTAGTTCTTTCTTTGATGTTGCTTATCAAGCTTTTGGACTGATTCCCCCTCCGTCTATCCACTTCCAAGGTACCTTGAAGGACCGTCTTGGGCAGAGTATTTTGGCGTATGACATGTCCAAGCCACAATAGCTTTCTCCTCTTTTCTGTTGCCAAGAGAGGCTCCTGGGGACCTGACAGTTGTGTTACTTGGCCCTGTACAAACTCAATTCTCTTGTGTTATGTCCAGGAGATCCTGAGAAGGCGTCTAAAGCGTTTCGTTTCAAATGTTTGGACTCTTTTGATGGTTTCTGTTAGCAGAGTCTTTCACATCCATAGAGCAGTATGGACAGAACCAGGGACGTGCAGAGCTTCATGTTGTTTTGAAAGCTGATATTTTGCTCTTCCAAATTTGTATTTTGTCTTTGCTGATGTTGCCATAGATAAGTCTTGATCTCTGTTTTAGAGCGTCCATATTTGGTGCGGGTAACGCTAAAGGTATTTAAAGACATCTACTTTTTCAAGTTCATCTCCGTTGATGAAAATCTGGACACTGATGTTGGTTTTACTGTTGAAGAGGATTTTACTCTTCTCATTGATCACTTTCATTCCTTACGCTCCGACTTTGTCAATCTGTTGGCGTTAGCCTGCAAATTCGGTGTTGCTGCCGCCAAACATGTCAATGTTATCAGCAAAGAGTAAGTTGTTAATGATATCTTATTCTTTTCTTTTTTATCTACCGTGTCCTTACAGGGCATAGGAGGTCATGGCTCTCCACTTCTCCTTATCCCTTGTTGCTCTCCACAGGTTTTGTGCTTCTTCCAACTCTCCCAGACCACGCTCCGGCATCCACCTGCCCAAGCCTGCCACGTATGTCATGAGCTGTTTTCCTCTATCTCTTTTGCCCTCTATTCGTCCTGTGAGTATCAGATTCTCCAGGCCCTCCTTTCTCATCACGTGTCCGAGAAATTTCACCTGCCTCTTCCTGATGTGAAGTATAAGCTTCCTCCTTGTTTGCATCTTCTCCAAGACCTCATCGTTGTTCACATGCTCGTTCCATGATATCCTCCCCATCCTTCTGTAGAACCACATCTCTGTCGCCTCGGGTCCCTTCTTCATCCTTGAAGATACCGTCCAACATTCGCTACCGTATCACATAGATGTCACATAGCAGCTCACTACTCTTTTCTTTGTCACCATAGAAATCCTCCTGTTTTGCAGTAATCAGCCCAGTTTCAAGAATGCATTCTTGGCCATCCCAATCCGTTAGAAGAATCTCTCACATGAGAGAAGGGTTTCAGCTCTGACAGTCCAAAGAGCAGTTAAAAAAACTTGAAAATGAAATCGTACGTGAACCCTGTGAAGCAGCTTGTTAAGTCAGGACAAAAAGTTAGAAGGTTAGAGAGGGCGAAGATCATCTTGAATGAGTTGGAAAATGATCCTGGAATATTATACACATATTTGAACTTTATTTCAATCCTTCATGAGCTTCCGATCCTTAGCTATGATAAATTAATGATGAACATGTCATCTTCGTTTATGATCGATTTCATCAAGATTCTTCAGCTAAGCTAGGAGAGTAATTATACATTCTTATTGCTCAAAATAGAGTTCAGTAGTGTTATAAAAACCTGGGAGAATTCCAATAAGATATCTTTAATCATTTCTATGAGTCAACGGCTCCATCTAACTAATGGACAATTTTGCTTTTACATGATTTTGATAATTTTGGTGTGACAACCGGTATATATATATATATATATATATATATATATATATATATATATATATATATATATATATATTATTTATTTAAATAAAAACAGACCACTTTAAGGTTCCATGTAATAAATTATTTCACCACAGTCCTTTTAAAGGATTGCGGATCATCAGACTTTACTTCCAAAGGTTGAAACGAAAAATGAAAAGAAATTTACATTTTTGATGGGCCGTATTAAGCATATGTAAGTTAACGAAGTGAGAGAGATGTAATTTAATATTTCTATTCTTTCATACTTAAAATTACTTGAAGAGGTCCAGACATTGACACATTTAAACGGTTAACTTAACGGAAGTTATATATTGATATATAGGTCTACCCATACGGATTACATAAACTTTATATAAATATAATATATATATATATATATATATATATATATATATATATATATATATATAATGTGCTGATGGTTTGAAGTCATTCGAGAGTAATCCATGATCTAGATTGGATGTAGGTGTTGATGGGCAAGACGGCAGTTATCTGTAATGATATATATATATATATATATATATATATATATATATGTGTGTGTGTGTGTGTGTGTGTTGTCAGCGCCAATGCAAGATTCACGTGTCCTGACTCTATGTAAACAACCCACTGAATTTATGATACGGGGCCCACGCTCAAGTATTCTTATGAAATACAAATTTTATTCTAACCTAATTATGTACAATAATAGATCATATGTAATGTAGGTAAACAATTCAACTAGAAAAACTGAAAATAAATCCAATGTATCTCAATACACATTAGAGACATGTAAAATCATTCTATCTATCGTAAATAAATCAACACTGATCGAATTGAGATTTCTCTTATGAAAAAGTTGAATAATTTGAACACGTTGAATATTATGGATGAAAAATAGGTAGTTTTATCTTTACGATACTTACCACTGACAAATTCTCAGACTTAGATAAAAAAAAAAAAAAGAAACAGATCCCAGAATAACGTCAAAATTCGTAAAATCTTTTCATCATTTAATAGTTTGTGATTAGTTTAATTGCTAACGTAAATAAATGCAGGTAGCATAACACAATTCTTGATGAGCTGGCGACTGTTACAAAGCATATATATATATATATATATATATATATATATATATATATATATATGGAAAAATGTATGACAAAGTGGAAATAGTTTTGTTGTGATGCGTTTCGTCATTTACGACTTCATCGGGCATATTTTTTATGTTGGTGCGACTACGCATCTGCTAGAAATTTTTTAATTTCATTTTATTTCTTTAAATTTTAACTGATTTCATCAAGATTTTTTCTTTTTCTTTCAATCATGAAATCGGCTTGATTACAAAAACAATTAAAACTTTCAAATTACCAGCATCTCCCGTCCGTGCGCATGCGCAGTAACACCATTTAGTCTGATGTCGTACCAAAGGAGAAAAAAATACGTGCCAAAAGAAAACTTTTTAGATTTTGTCATACATTTTTCCCAATATTATTCCTGATATATAAAAATATATATCGTTATCTCTCTCTGTCTCTAACACACACACACACGCACACAAACACGCACACCCCCATGTACATATATATATATATATATATATATACAGTGTAAGCCGGATATAAGAAAGTTGTCGGGACCGGAGAAGTCTCTTATATCCGGGTTTCTCTTATATCCGGGTTGGGTCTATTTCGGTTACATTAACACAGGCTCTAATTTGGGACCAGAGAAAATCTCTCTTATATCCGGGTTTCTCTTATATCCAGGTCTCTTATATCCGGGTTACACTGTATATATGAAGAAATATACTCTTAAGGAGTGCTATATTTATGGAATAAAGTGCTCAATATCAGAGATAGAGCGTGTAAAATTGAACATTGAAGTCAATATTTAGAGGCGACAGGCTGTTTCAAGCTACACACAATCGTCAGGCTACCGTGGCCTGTCGCCTCTAAATGTTGACTTCAATGTTCAATTTTATATATATATATATATATATATATATATATATATATATTATTCTTATTTTATTTCCAACCTTGTTAATCGGGGCCTGAATTAAAATTCAAAATTAAACCACACTTCATTTAAATATTTTAATAATAATATTCCACCTCTTAACCATAAAAATAACACGCGATAACCAGAAATTTTGCAAAACCGGTGTCAACCTAAAATTAAAATTGAAATAAATATACCGGCACTTCATAATAGCTTCGACGTGAAACTCAGAGTTGTGCAAACAATGTATGGTATTTTTATATATATATATATATATATATATATATATATAGTAGTCTAGGGAGAAACATAGATATGTAGATAGATAGGAAGACTGCTCTACAGATCTGTAGATCCTGATATCGATTTATCATACAAGACAATAACAAAGGATTTAGGAATAAATTTAAAAGAATATCATGAAACTTGAAAACCTGACTGTCTTGTGATTACAATAGCAAATTCTAAGAAATGTAACTTTTTTTTTAACTTTCTTGTTCACTTTTTGTTTTTATTTCTTTTATATTTTCATAATTTTTAAAAAAATATAGAGGAAAACACTGCCAGAAACAGACGCGCTTATTTTATTCCGATGACGGAAAGAGCAATTGTATCGAATTTATCTCCATGTGCTGGTCTTGCAAAAGTTCAATACAATGTATGTTCGGCCATTTCGAAGAGGAATCGGTGAAAGAAGGAATGGGACGCTGCTGGCTTCTGGCAATGATATTACAGGACAATAAGAGCCATCATCGTGTGACTGGCTTACCTCGGGCACACTGCCCTCTAGCGACAAGCTCGGGAAGTTCTGATCGAAAACAATACGTGGTAAAGCGAACTGGATCTTACTATAAATTGAGGGCACCATGCCTGTGAGGTGCATTCGAAGAAAAAGACGGGCGTGAAAGGGGCGACGAGTCGTGACTCGGGAGAGAAGATGGCCTCCAGCAGCTGCGAACTTCCTGCTTTCTTCTTTTTCTTCTTGCGATTCTGCAAGATTCAAAACGCGTGGAGAAACGGCTTTTTAAAAGGTGGGGAAAAAATGAATGATGAAAGAGAGATAGAGAAATACAAGTGACAGTAAGGAGGGAAAAAGAGAGAGAAGGAATAAGAGTGAAATCGAGGCAAAAAAAAGAAAGAAAGAAAGAAAGAAAGAAAGAATGAAGGAATGTTAAGAAAGAAAGAAAGAAAGAGTGGTGAATATTGGAAAAGAAAAAAAGGAAAAAGAAAGAGTAGTGAATATTAAGAAAGAAAAAAGGAAGAAAAAGAATAAAAGAAAGACTAAGTGGAGAACATTAAGAAAAAGAAAGAAAGAACGAATGAATGAAAGATAGAGAAGTCCAAGTGACAACAGCGAAAGAAGAGAGAGAAGCAATAAGAGAGAAATCGAGGCAAAAGAAAGAAAGAAAGAAAGAAAGGAAAAGAAAAAGTGGTGAATATTAAGAAAAAAGAAAGAAAAGAAAAAGAAAGACTGAGTGTAGAACATTAAGAAGAAAGGAAGAAGGAAAGAAAGTAAGAAAAAGAAGAAGAAGGAGGAAAGAGAAGGAAAATGTGGCAAATATTAGAAAAAGAAAGAAAAACAAAGAAAGATTGGTGAATGTTAGAGAAAAAGGAAGAAAAAAGAAAAATAAAGAAAGAATGGTTATACTAAGAAAAAAAAAGAAAGAAGAAGAACAAGAAAGACTGAGTGGAGAAGATTAAAAAAAAACAAAGAGAGAAAGAAAGAAAGATAGAGAAATCCAACTGACAATAAAAAGAGAAGAAGAGAGATTAAGAAAGAAGAGAAGAATCAAGGCTAAGAAAGAAAGACTGGTGAATATTAAAGGAAAGAAAAAGAAAGAAGAGAGACTGAGCGTTGAATAATAAGAAAGAAAGAAAGAAAGAAAGAAAGAAAGAAAGAAATTGTGGGACAAGGAGAAATAAAAGCAGAAACGGTGGAAAGAGAAGGGGTAAGAAAGATAAAAAGAATGAAATAAACGGTGGGAAGAGAAGGGGTAAGAAAGATACGGTGGAAAGAGTGTGAGCAGATAAAAGCAGAAAGGAAAGAAGACTAAAAGAAGTAAAGGAAAAAAAAACCGAGAATAAAAGAAGGAAAAGGAATGAAATCGAGGAAAAAGATGGAGACATAAATCATAAAGAAAAAAGGAGAAAGAAGAAAAAATGATAAGGAAGAAAAGGGAGAGAAAAAGAGGAAAAGAGGAAAAGAGAAAAGAGGAGGAAATGAAAAAAAGAAAGAAAACTGAAAATGAAATAATGAAAAGAACAACATTGAAAATAAGGAAAAAGAAGAAATGATGAAGAAGAAAAGGTAGAAGATAAAGTGAATAATCAAGGAATAAAAAAGAGTTAATAGAGGCAGGGAGAGAAATGAGTTGAGTGAAAGAGCGAATGGAAAAGAAAGAAAGAAAGAAAGAAAGAAAGAAAGAAAGAAAGAAAGAAAGAAAGAAATGAAGAAAGGAAGGAAGGAAAAAGACTAAGGTCGTTTGAAGAAAGAAAGCAAGAAGAAAGTGAAGGTGGGGGTATATTAAGAAATAAATAAATAAAGAAATGAAAAATAAAGAAATAAATGAATAAAGGAAGGAAGGAAGGAAGGAAGGAAGGAAGGAAGGAAGGAAGGAAGGAAGGAAGGAAAGAAAAAGTCTAAGGTCGTTTGAAGAAAGAAAGCAACAACAAAGTGAAGGTTGGGGGATAATAAGAAAGAAAGAAAGAAAGAAAGAAAGAAAGAAGGAAGGAAGGAAGGAAGGAAGGAAGGAAGGAAGGAAGGAAGGAAAAAGACTAAGGTCGTTTGAAGAAAGAAAGCAAGAAGAAAGTGAAGGTTGGGGATAATAAGAAAAAGAAAGAAAAGAAAGAAAAGAAAGAAAAAAAGAAAAGAAAGAAAGGAAGGAAAAGGAAAGAACAAATTAATGTTTGAAGGAAAGCAATGAATGAAATAAGAAAGAATGAAAGAAAGAAAAAAAAGTAAAGAAAGAAAAGAAAAGAAAGAAAAAAAGAAAATTTAGACAAGGAAGCAATGAATGAAAGTGAATAAAAAAAGGAAAGATGAATAAAAAACGGAAAGATGGAAGAAAAGAAAAGAGAAAACAAACAGCGGCATAAAGAATGAGTAAAGAGAAGAGAAAGGAATGAAGCAAATAATGAATAAAGAAAAAATTGAAGGAAACCGAGAGAGAAAATAAATAAGGAAAATATAACAAGAAAAAGAGAGATATAGATAGAAAAAGAAAATAAGGAAAGAACAAAAGAGAAAGGAGCGAGGGAGAGTGAGAGAGACAGAGAGACAGAGAGAAAGGAAAGAAAGAATAAAAAAAGATAAATGAGCGAGATTAAGAAAGAAAGAAAGGAAACAAATAAATAAATAAATAAATAAATAAAGAAAGAAAGAAAGAAAAGGAGTAAAGAAAGAAAGAAAGAAAGGAAGGAAGAAAGAAAGGGAGGAAAGAAAGAAAGTAAGAGAGTAAAGAAAGAAAGAAAGAAAGGAAGGAAAGAAATAACGAAAGAAAGAAAGAAAGAAAGAAAGAAAGGGAGTAAAGAAAGAAAGAAAGAAAAAAAGAAAGAAAGAAAGAAGATATGGAGATTTAGAACGAAAGAAAATAGAAAAAGTTTAAAAAGAGGAGAGTGAGAGAAAGAAAGAAAATAAACAAAGAATAAAAAAAGAAAAGAGTGCGGTCGAGAAAGCGAGAGAAAGAAGATAAGGAAAGAATAGAATAGAGAGAGAGAGAGAGAGAGAGAGAGAGAGAAAAGAACATAAAGAAATAATAAAATAGAGGCAGAGAGAGAGAGATAGAGCGATAGAGAGAGAAAGATTAGAGAATAATAAAAAACAGAGAGAGAGGGAGTGATAGAGAAAGAAAGAAAGAAAGAAAGAAAGAAAGAAAGAAAATGAGCTAAGAATAAAAAGAGAAAAAGTGAGCGTGATCAAAAGAGCAAGAAGATAAGGAAAGAATAAAAGAGCGAGAGACGATAAGGAAGCAATAAAAAGAGAGAGAGAGATGATAAGGAAACAATAAAGAGAGAGAGAGACGATAAGGAAACAATAAAAAGAGAGAGAGAGAGATGATAAGGAAACAATAAAAAGAGAGAGAGACGATAAGGAAACAATAAAAAAAGAGAGAGAGAATATAAGAAAAGAATAAAAGAGAGAGTGAGAGAAGATAAGGAAAGAATAAAAGAGAGAAAGAGAGAGCAATAGAGCGAGAGAAAGAAGATAAGGAAATAATAGAAGAGAGAGAGAGAGATAGAGAGAGAGAAAGAATATAAGGAAAGAATAAAAAGAAAGTGAGAGAAAGATTGGGAGAGAAAGAAAACAATTAATAAAAAGTGGAAAGAGAGAGAGAGAGAGGGAGAGAGAGGGGGGAGAGAGCGAAATATGCCTGAAGTCAAAGAACATGATAAGAACGAAGGTGAGAGTCTTTGACAAGTGTCTTTTGACGAAAGTCGCGTGTTTCTCGCAGCAAAGAGAAGAGAAGTGAATCAAAGACAAATGTCTGATAGGGCAAAGCAGGCCAACGCGAATTCACCGTGGCTTCAGGGAGCATGGAACGGAAGGGAAGAAACGCAAAGAATCGATGATTTCAAAAGAAAGAATCAAAGAGAAATGGTAACAAGGGGAAGCATCTTTTAAGGCCACAATCTTTTGCATTTGTCAACCAATGAAGTAATTTTTTTTCTTCTACTTTTTCAATTCGTTTTTATCCATTATTGCATTTTAGATCCATCAAGAATTCTACCTCCATAGCAGTCTTTGACATATGGCTTTTCGAAATATCAAATGACAATTATATAAAATAATTATACTTCGCTCAGATGCATATATCTTGAAGCATTTTTCAAAATGCCATTTCCCTTCACTGCTCACGGCTCTCCACATTTTCTCATGTGTTATCATCTGTGAATTTATATGTATTCTAGATAAAATAAACTATGATTTTTCCTTTGCATTCTCCATTGTTATAAATTCAAATTTCCTTGCTATTATATCGATTGCCACCTACCGTTCGAGAGCCCAGTCGAACCTACTATTTAACCCATAGATGGAGTAGAGAGGAAAGAGAATTCATGCCTTTTCCAAGCCCATACGAAATCACAAAGAACTGAACGAGGTAATAGATTACAGAAACCACATCAATTGAAGATTTTCAGCTGCAACAACAATTAAAATGGATAGCACATGGAACTCTAAGAGAAAGTAATAATATCATCAACATGTTGACATTCCACACTACTTAACACAAAAGGTTAGGAAGGAAAACCCACATCAATACAGGAAAGAGCTACTAGACTTGAGAAACATATTTTCCTAGACAAAATGATTTCAGAGAAAGATTTTATAAATTTCAACAGAGAGCAGCGCTGGCTATTCTGTGAATGAATGTCAAATGTTTCCTTATAAGGAAACGGCTAATATTATCATTAGCATTAGTATGAAAGGAAACACAACAGACTATCGCAAATTTTAAAGTCGATTTTCGAATTCTACACCGAGTCAATATGCGTTATACCAAATGCGTATTTTTTTAATCATTCCACCCCAAGCATGACAATAAAGCCACTAAGACACAAGAGATTTACTGGGGTTGAAAGAATATACAAAAAAGAAAATATGCTGCATATATGTATAACAAATTCATGAATCTCATCTTAAGCGAAGTTTCACTTCAGTATGTGGGTGATCATGGCTCTTCACAACTTCCTATCCTTTGTAGCTCTTAGCAATGTTTACCCGCTTTCTGGCCGTAATAGTCCTAGTTCTGTCATTCATTTACCTAATTTCGTTATGTAGGTTAGTCTGTGTTTCCATCTGTCTATGTGGCATTTAATATGTCCTGTGTATGTCTCAGACATTTAATGTCCTGTGTATGTCTCTGGCATTTAATATGTCCTGTGTATGTCTCTGGCATTTAATATGTCCTGTGTATGCCTCTGTTGTGGAGTTATTTCGCAGTGGAGGCTTGTATTTGTACTAAATAGTTCGACGTACAAAACGTTAGGAACTTGATATAATAGGTATTACGCAGAGTAATCTCGTCGTGATCGCTGACTACTTTCGTATTCGACTAACTGTCGTCTACTGTCGTCCGACATCGACTGATCTTCGTTTCTCTTACTACTCCTACTTATATTAGGTGGGAGAGTCTATTAACTATAGAATAGGTGTGTTTTATCATAACACTCACCTCCTAAAACTTTACTCTGTAGAAGTAAAACAGTTTTCTTTATTTATTTTTTACAGGAAATATGAAGGAAAAAAAAAACTTCATTTTTTAGCAACATCGTTGCGTATCTCCTACGTTTTGGATCCACTTTTAAATGATCAGTTGCCTTTCTTTTTCTCCTGGATCGGCGTACCTCAGGTAAAATCGTTACAGGCGTTGTTAGATCAAACGTATCGAAAATCACCTCCATCGGCGTTTTTTTTTCCGCGGGACCGCTGTCAACCACGTCTGAAGAGTGTCATCTGATCTGGTTAATGTGCCTTCTGCACTTGAATTTTTCGCCTTTCACCAAGTACATCATATTGCCAATCCGCTTTTCTACATTTTGGTACCTCCATAGTGTTACCAGAAACAACCTTCCACTTTGAGCTTCTTAAGAATGGAGTCACAGTTTCTGTAGGTTCTTCTTGTGGTTCTATTTGTTCAGCCTCTAGCTTCCCTTTTGTTAATCTTGTGCTTCTTAACGTTTTCTGTGATGACTTCAGTTGACTTAAATCATTTAATAATACTGCATGTCCTTGGCTGCGGGTAACTCGCTCCCCAGTTTTCCTCGGTGTCGGCTTCATCTTTACTTTCTGGGGCTTATTTTTTTCACGTATACCGTCGGTGTTGCCCATTCACTATAATCAACTTTTTTAAGTACACCGGTTTTCTCTAATCTTTCCAATTCTTTATCTATCTGTTAAATTGAGGCAAACGGCACATTCCTTTTCTTTTTGAATACCGCCTGAGCGTTTTCTTTTAGCTCGAATTTTGCCTCTATCTTGGTACACGTTCCCAACCCTGGAGAAAAAAAAAACAGTAGGAAATGTTTCCTTAAGTTTCTTTATTAATTTTTGGGCTTCGCAGTTTAAATTTTCAACCTGGTAACAGAAAGAATTTATCGGTAGATCCCATAATTGAAATTCTGTTATCCAATTCGTACCAAGTAACTTCGTGGTATTTTCTATGACAAATAGTTTAGCTTTTCGCGCTTTTTTATTTAACGTGAAGTTTGTAACAAATTCTCCAATAAAGTGAATTTTTCTTCCGTCACTGACCTTGCGATTTTATTTGTCTTCATTAAAGTTGGTTTCCCCAACTTCTTCCACGTATTCAAATTTATGATAGATAGATCTGAGCCAGTGTCAAGTTGCATTTTTATATTTTTATTACTTATTTCGACGGTAACAAATTTTCTGGTTATTCCATCTTTTACCTCGTCGGACTTTAATTTTCTTATTTTATTGTCTTTATTTTTTGACCTGCAATACGTGCTTTTATGACCCATTCTTTTACAGTTGAAACATTTTTTTATTCCTAAAATCGCAATGTCTGTACCAGTGTAGTTCACTGCAAGCAAAACATGGCTTCAGGAGTTTTTGTTTATTTTTCTCTGGTATTTCACTTTTTGCTTGATAATCCGCAATTTTAGAATTCTTTTTGGTAAACTGACTTTCTTCTTTGTAGTGTATTTTCCTTACATGCGAAACGCGAGAATGTTCTATTTTTTTAAATCTTTCTTTACGCTAACATATGTTGTGCAATCTTCTGCCAATTTCTGTACCGTAATACTTGGATCGCTTTCCAATTTTGCCTGTACTAATTTTCTCAACTCTGTGTCTCTTTCCGATACCAGCCCATGAACAAACACCAAACACTTAAAATTGTTTGCGCTTAACTCTGCCAGCTTGAATTCTTCACAATGCTTATTCACATTGGCTGCGTATGTTATATAGTCTTGTTCGTCATTTTTCATCAGATTCAAACATTTCCACCTCTTGTTAAACAGAGATGTCTTTTTACTAAATAATTCACTTAATATATTTACCGCTTCGGTAAATGTCAACTCGTTAGTTTTTTTTGGTAAAATGTAGTTTACCAACTTGTTATGCTCAGCAGTTCCTAATTTGCTTAAAAGAAGCCTAACCTTCTTTCCTTCAGACCACGAGTGGCAATCCTCGTTATACACGTCCGTATATTTTTTATAATACTCCTCAAAAGTTATCTCTTCCTCTGGACTGTACGTGAATATTTCAATTGAATTCCATATTGTATTCTCTGAGAAAGAATCATTTTGAAGATTTTTCTCTTTCCTCTTCTCAGTTATTTCCAAAAGTTTGTTTTGAAACTCCCTATGCATCTGTTCCATTTTGCATTTGTCTATTGAAAGTTTCCTGCTGTAGTTGCATCTGGAATGTTTTTTGTTGCTCTAATCTTGTCACCTGTTGTTCCGACTGGAACTTAAAAATTCCCGGAATATATTTTTGCATTCCTCCATCTTCGCAAAATTTTACACAATGCCTAAATACTGTAGAGGGGGGTCCTATGAATTTGCAATTCGTGACCTAATTGAGCAAACTGTATTATCGGGGAGAAAAACATATTTCTTTTCTCAGTTGAGAATACTACAGATATTTTCGTCACTAAGTTGACGTCTTGGCTTGCGAAAAACTTTGTCAAGTTTTTTTTTTAAATGTGAATCCGAGACTTTGTCGCCGAAGTTAGTGGCGAGCGAATTTTTATTCTTCCACCGTATGAGTGCGAATCCTCGTCGCCAAAGTTGTTGTGGAGGTATTTCACAGTGGAGGATTGTATTTGCACTAGATCGGTCCTAAATAATTCGATGTACAAAACGTTAGGAACTTGATATAATAGGTATTACGCAGAGTAATCTTGTTGTGGTCGCTGACTACTTTCGTATTTGACTAATTATCGAAAACTGTCGTCCGACATCGACAAGACCTTCGTTTCTCTTACTTCTCCTACTTACATTAGGTGGGGGAGACTATTAACTATAGAATAGGTGTGTTTCATCATAACAGTCTCAGACATTTAATGTGTCCAGTGTATGTCTCAGACATTTAATATGTCATGTGTATGTCTCAGACATTTAATGTCCTGTGTATGTCTGGCCTTTAATATGTCTTGTGTATGTCTCAGGAATTTAATATGTCCTGTGTATGTTATTACTTCAGCTTGCTATGCATTAAGCTTAGTTTTCAAGGAAATTCCACTGACTTGTGAAATAATTTAAAAAAGCGAGCGGCGAGAACGATAGAAATTAAGAAATGAGAAATAAACGAATGATATTGCATTTAAATTTTTGAAGATCGAACTTGACTTGAAAGCAAGGGAACCAGAAGAGAGTTCCAGAAGTGAGAAATGCAAGACAATAAACTGTTATTAAGGGTGGGATCTATGAGACCAAATATTAGGGATGCGCTCTATGAGACCATATATTAGGGGTGGGCTATAGCGACCAAATTTTTCAAAAAAAAAAAAAAAAAGTGGGGAAATGTTTTATTCCATTCATTTGTGTCCAAATAGGCGGAAATGTGCCAACTTTTTGAAAATTGGCATTGAGCCGGCCCGAAACCATTTTGATTGTAAAATGATGAGATCTTGCTGCTAATTATTCTTAAATTCACAATTCATAGACCACAAA